GAATTACTGATACGGACAAATGGATATGCTCTTGTTTTAGTTTTTTGTGTAGCAGATTTTTTATCTGCAAACACTTAGTCAAACAAATAAACCCGGTCTCTATAGGGTTTTTTAAAAAGGTATACTTGTATTTTGTTAAATTCTAAATTAAATATTTAATAATTTAAGTATATTTAGGTTCAGCGTCAAGAATTTTATCCTTTTCTGCGATTTACTGAACACAATAATGATAACTACTTTAAAGATCTGCCTGAAAATCTTTTTCAAACACTTTTAAATAAACCTGCAATTGAACAAGCTTCGACTTTTATTACACCTGAATTATTATCTCAAAACGATGTACTATCCAAGGACGATGTGCTACCCCAGGACAATGTAATACTTCAAGGCGATGTACTACCCCAAGACGATGTACTACCTCAAGATGATGTACTACCTCAAGATGTACTACCCCAAAGTGATATACTACATCAGGATGATGTACTACCCCAAAGCGATGTATTACCTCGAGACAATAACGATATATTACTCCAAGAAAATGCATTGTCTCAAGATATTATGATTAAAAATAACAACGTAGAATTCAAAAAAAAAGAACTAAATTTATTATTGGATCGTGCCAAAACTATTATTGATAAAAACACTCAAATGCCAAATGCTGAACAGTGGATCAATTCTATTGACAAAAATTTTAATGCTTTGCGAAAAATGATAGATGATTGTGAGCGATTTGAGAGGAAGCAAAAATTTTCAAATACTTGGGAGGGTCGTAATCACAATACATTCTGGATTTAAATTGTATTACACATAAAGATATGTTAGTAATATACGCTTGTGCATAGGATAATTATAAAGATTTGTAACTTTATAAAAATTGAAGTTTTCGGTTTAAGCGAAAGTCTGTTTTTAGTTAGGTTTAGGGTTAGGTTTGAGGTTAGGTTTGGGTAAGTCAATTAAAAGTCTTATTTCAGTGCTTTAGTAAAATAAAATGCTGTAGCGGAGGCGACAGCCGTAGCGGAAGCATAAATTATCCTTTGCTTCGCAAAGGATAACGGATAATTCTTTCTCGATATGTTTAACTGCGCCGTAAGCATATCGGAAAATCCCGTGATCATCATTTCACGTGATCTGCGAAATTTTTTTGACTGGTATTTTAAATACAGTTGTAGATCAACCGTGTATTTTCTGGGCACCCTAGGTTTGGACATTTTCGCTTTTGGACATTTTTGAACAAATAAATTAAAATTCCTCAAAATTTTATTACCCTATTTTTAAAAATATTCAGTATTATAAAAAAATATACAATCATATAGTATTTAAATTAATTCGTGATCCGCATAAGAACCAGTGAAAAGTCATGAAAAATCAGATGATTGTTTTTATTAAATTTTGCTATTTTTGGAATCTGGGTTTTCCAAAGGATAACTGTTTTTTACTAAGTGAACATTTTTCCCGCTTCTAATGATGGTTAAAATATTAAAATTGATCCAGTGCATCGTGAAATATAAGCGTTTTAATTTTCGCGGTTATACGTTTACTTTGTTTACATCATATAGCCGCGAAAATTAAAACGCTCATACCTCACGATTCACTGGGTCAATTGTAACGTTTTAACCACCATTAGAACTGATTATAAACAGAAAAAATATTCACTTAGTAAACAAACTAACTTATCCTTTGTGAAACTCCAGACTACAAAAAAATATATCTCCACGATTTACTATGATTGATCACTGTTCTTATGCGGATCACGAATTAATATATTAATTTTTGAAGCTTAAATATGCCGTGGACATTCTTGGACACGTGGATGTTTGGACATTGGACATGATCTAAAAAGTCTTGGACATAGCAGACAAACAGTGGACTAGGGTACTATTACTGTCATCTGATCGAAATTGTTTAATTGGTAGTTGGTTACACGAGTTTCGACAAACTATATAGAAAAGAATTACATATATTAAAAACTAATTTAAAAATGTCTCACCAATATATAGTGATTTTTGATGCAGTTTTTTATGATTATAGGTTTGCTATTTGACCGTTGTAAAAGTGTAAGCGTGCGGATTCGTGATGATCCGCGCTAAAATTTTATTGGACGCTAAAGCATTTTCGATTGAAAAACTAGCTTTTGACGTTAAGGGTAAGAGTGAGCATTAGAAAGATGATAAAAAGGACGCTGCATATAGCAAAATTTTATGAAGGTTTTTTTGCTAAGACGCAGAAGGTCGTTTTGTAATCAAATTTTGAGTTATGGACGATTTTTTGTAAAAGCCGTTAGTTTGTTTTGTTTTCAAGTTACGTCCTGATCCTATCTCGTGATTATAGGTGTGTGCCTAGGAAAAAGTATTTTCGGCAAACATTTCGACATTGATACATTTTTATAGGAAACCTCCAAAGTAA